CTCATCTGCTATATATTCATGAGAAGTGTAACTGCTTCTTACTATTCTTGGAAATCCATCCACAGCATATTAAGTACACTAGAGAATCATACCCGTGGAAATAAAATTGATTTTAAAACTCCTATACATATAACAAGATGCAGCCGGGCTCAGAGTCCGCAGGTGCTGGCATTTCTACAATGAGAGGGATTGGAAGGCAGGATGACGCCTCTGTCCCTCATTTCCTTGACCTGCCATGGCTCTGAGCTGTCTCACCAGCTTACCCCATTGCATTCAATTTCAAATCACTTAACTTCACTCAAGTTATTCAAAGCGGAGATGTGAAACCCACTTTGGGATTGCAAGCGAAATCCTGTCATCTACAGTTTTGAGTTGGTAATATTTTGACCAAGCTACTGTCTGTGTAATTCTGTTTGGCTTGTACTTTTAAAATGCTACTGCTTTCTGGGGAATTTTGGTTGCTGGAGACGATCTTGTTCGGCCCCTGGAATTACTCATGGTGCAACATCTATTATGTACGATGCTTTTCCAGAGAGGAATTGAAAACCTTGGTTGCAAATACCAACAAATAACTTATCAATAAGGCTGAAGCTGGGAGTAAAGGTGATCCTGAACTATGGGGAACAACTGCTTCCCAGAAATAAACTGCGGATAAACGGAATTTATAGTAGGGACCTGTTAATGCAGTAACTGCCACCGAGGATACGCATGTCTGTTTCTTTACAGAACCACTGAAACTTCCTGGTAGTTACATGGGTGAGTACCATGAGAATGAAAAATTCATATAAAAACAAACAAAAACTGCCCACTGATTAAAAAGTGGCAGTTTAAAAAGTGGTTTTATTCTCCTATGTTCTGCTTATGCAAAGGAATTAAATTACTGCAAGTCTTAACAAATGATGATTGAGTTAAATGCTGGATAAACAAACATGGTTATGAAAGCACCACCCCCATGGTATTATTTTTTTTCTATCTGGGTTTTGTTTTAAGGCAAGTTCTCACTAGACAGCATGGGCTTGGTTGAAATTTGTGGTCCTCCTGTCTCAGCTCCCTAAGTACTAAGATTATAGGTATGGCTTATCCAATATCCAGTCATATATGTGATGCGGTCTAGCTGGTTTGTCTCCTGCACCTAGACAGAAGCAACCAGAGGGCAGAGACTGGCATTGCTTTACATATCTGAATCTCCAGAGTTTGGCAAACTACCTAGCATGCAGTGGGCATTAAGCTAAGTGTGGAGCAAATGAGAAAAATGCATGGACTTGTGTAATCAAGAAAGCCAACAGTTGTCACAGGGAGAGAAATCTCTCCAAGGATGAGGTGGCACTGACTGGGTGCAGCATTTGTCTGCTACTGCCTGCAGCAGCAAGCCACATACACTCGCAATCGGTTTGCTTTGTTTTAGTTTTTGACATTGCCAAATTGAATAGAATCTGGTTATGATTATATAAACTAATACCAAAACACAGGTGCCCATTCTTGGATTTTGTCAGTTGTATTTCAACAGGAGACCATTTAGAAGTATTATAAGTAAGGGACAGCTGAAGGCATAGCATACTAAGTCCCACAAAACCCCAGCCTCTTCAACCTTCTGAGGTTTTAAATTCTACATCTAAAGTCAGGAGTGGTGGCGCCTACTGGTATGTCAGCTCTTCGGGAGGTGAGGCATGTGGCTTTCTTGAGCCCATGGATTTGAGAACAGCCTGGGAAACAAAGAAACTCCATCTCAATACAGATTAAATGATAAATGAAATGAAGTAAAATTTCAAAGGAATAATAAAGACGAACTTCTTGTGGTCCGATGTTCTGGTATCAACTCAACAACATTCACCAGAAAGTTGCATATTTCAGTTGTGTTTTTATCCTTCCAACATGCTTCCCATTCTCCCAGTCAATACAAGATAATAATATCATATAACCTACTACCTACATACTTCCCCGAATAATATGAGGGTAAGATTGAGATATGGAAAATCGATATGGAACAAGCTTCTCTGGGAATCTGTGTCAAAATAATTATTGCGAGAAAGGGACTAACAATAGATCAATAGTGTGAGTAGGTGTTATTACCAACGTAACTATTGACTGTGCTGCCCTGAGCTCCAGGAACCATGGAATGTTTACATGAACAGGGATCCTGGCTGCACTTTTACCTATGTCCTTTTAGCATTTGTGTTTTCATCTGCAAACTAAACAGTAGTGGATCGAGGGGTTTTATCCACTTGGGCTATCATTCTCAGGGTTTGAGGGCATGCCACAGCTTACTGGCCTGAGTGGCTGTGAGGATATGAACACTCTTTCAGGGAAGCCAAGAAACTTCTTTCGAAGTCCCATCCAAGTCAAAGAAAGGCAAAAGATAGAAATTCGGTTTTTAAGAAATAAGAGCCTATGAACAGGAGTGGCATGAAGAACCTACAACACCAAGGGGCTCGCTTGTCATTAATACATTTACATTCTTATCCATTCGTACCTACTGAACTTCTAGTTCAAAAGTCCTTATAAAAATCCTGGATACAGTTGCTAAATGCAATGCAAAAAGTTAAGCTTTCTAAAGAGAAACAATCTCAGATTGTAGAACCTGGATTCTCCCACTAAATCCATGTAAAGTTTTAAACATCAAATTATCCATAGTTTTATGCAAATCATTGCTACCTCTTAGAAAGCTATGCACATTTTACATTTTTATAGCATATAAAATTCATTTTTATTCCCTTCAAAAATTATACCTAAAATAGAGGAAGAATTTAGCAGGGCAGACTCAGAATAATTAGTGTTTAGTAGCTAACGTGTGGCGTCTACTGTGAATCATTCTCTAAATGATCATCTACATTTTGTATTAAATACATGTATCCTGTAATTCGCACCACAGACTCACCAATGGCCAACTCCAGAGTCAAAACCTCCAAATATAGGCAGTCAAACAATCTGAGCAACTAATGCACACAATCATAATGTTATTAACTTTAACGAGCATAACTAGATTTAAAACTAATCTAATTAAGAAAAGTAAAAGGAAAAAGGGGGGCCCATCTCCTGCCCCTGAAAGGGTTAAGCTGTTGTATAGTACACAGCCCAGGCCATTCTGCCAGACTCCAGGCCTCACGGAGCCCACTTTGTATGCAGTGGGGCTGCATACAAAACAAGATGAGCCAAATAAAAGTCCCCCGAATTAAGTAAGTAATTAATACAAGCACTAGGATATGACAGCAGCTTTTAGACTCTTTCTGAGGTAGTCTGTTGGAATAAAGAGGAGCAGGAATTCTTCAAGTGCTCCTGGCTCCTCCAGCACAGACCTAGCAAGAGCTTCTATCCACTTCAGCTGCTGGAACAGCTCCACTTCATTTGCATTCACCAGACTCCACATAGAATCCCCTGTGTAGTCTCCTGGCATGGAAGAAATTGGGCTACTTTTAAACCTATTTTTAGCTGTACCGGGCTGCTAAATGCCATTTGATCTGGGCCTGAGGAATGACACCAAGATTGTTTCGTATCTATGAATGCTGTTTCCAGTGGCTATTAATTCCTACACGTATCAAATACACAAAAGCAATTGACTATCTAGGAATGTCTTGGAAATGGCAAGATATTACAGAATCAATGGAATAGAATTATAAATGCTTCTTGTGTGTGTGTGCAAACCAATTAGAAATTCCTTGGTAGCAATTCTTTTCATTTCAAGCTTCAATTTTGAGGAATATCACACTAGGGAGGAGGTAGTTCCCAGGCAAATATCCTTGCCTTTGTGACTTTAGATTGTCACAGAAAAATCCACATTTAACAATTTTGTCATATTAGACACTTAGAGAAAATTTGTAAAAGGAAGTTTCATAAATTTTCAAATAGCATGAGGTTTCAATGCTGGGAGCCAATAATGATAATTTTAAATGTCCTAACAGGTAAAGACAGAACATGTAAAATGACAGTATTATGTATTTCATGCAGACTTAACATAGCCACTAACCAGCAAGCACAAAATTATTCTTAGTGTTTTTTGGCATTGTCAACCAAATTAGATATTGAACAATATTTATAGAATATATTAATAAAATAATTTGGAATTGTCTGCTAATATAGATGTTTCTTTCCATATACACAAAACATTTTCTCATTAAAATAGAAATATGCCTTTTGCCATTTAGAATATTAAGAAGTTTCCTCTCTGCAAAAACAAGAACAAAGATTTGAAGATCCTTTTTTCATTGTATTTTGCAGTTATATAAGATTTCTTCAAGATCCTATTTTCTTTATTTCTGCGCCCCGCACCACCCTCTCTCCCTCTCCCTCACTTCCTGGCTTGCTCTCTCTGTCTCATTTGACAGGCAAATTTGCAGACATTGCCGCAGGATAACAACCTCGTTTGACAGTCAATTAACCGTGAATAGTCAAAGCCAAGGCAGTTTGCATTACATAAATGGAAAATTAGATTCCTTTTTCCCAAGAAACAAAACCCTCTCCTTAAGACACTGCAATAGACAACTTAGTATCAAAACTTCTAATCACGTCTTTCCCAAACCCCTTGGAGACATTTAGCAATCAGTAAAAGGTGGTTTCATTTAATTTGTATAATGTAATTTTTGTAAATGTATTATACATTTTGTGTAGAGATCATTATCACGGAGATAATATAAATGTTGGCAGAGATGTCATAAAACACCTTTAATGTCTTTCTGACAGATATTAAAAGCAATAAGCTGTGATCCTTTTTAATGGAAGGTTTCTAAGAGAACATTTCAATTATTGTCATTTTATGCTTTTGCAGCCTGTTTCATTGTGTAACCTGATATATTTCTGAATTTTCTTCTGAAATATGCCCAGCAATTAATAATCTTATTGCTATTAATGTCACTGCTTTCCTATTTGTGTTTTTCTTAGTTATATCTACTGGGAATTGTTTTTTTCTCTAGCTTTACCCTTGTGCTAAATATCCAGTCTTTTGATTATGAATATCCACCCCTGTCTGTGATCTGACTACTCATTCCCCTTGTTTGTTCCCAGCCTACCTGATCTTTCTCTCCAAAAGTCTCCAGAAGAATCAGAGTCTGTGATGAAAAAGCTGTGTTCCTTGTTCTTATCTAGGACCAAAACAAAGCATGAAATCTACAAGTGACCAACTGACAAGCAGAACAGAAAGACAGACATTCAAGAACAGAGGGAAGGACACTCAATTTATTATGACTAAGTTTGAGAGTGACAAACTTTAAAGAGGAACAGCCTGAAGGTTCTACATAGACTCCAAACTGCTGGACACTATTCAGAGAAGATAAAGACATGTGTGAACGTTAACATATTTATATACTTGTGTGTGTGTTGTGAGGGCTGAAGTCACTGAAATGCAGAGAACGATCCTGAGTTTGGGGACAGTAGTACTATTATTTTAAAACTTGCCATTGCTTGGACACTACAGAATTGTTGCCCTTTCAGATATAAACTGTGCTGTCTAAGGCAACAGTAGAGCAGTGACAAAACCTACAGAATGGTGGATGTGGGGACATAGAGGTGGGGTTAGGAAGGCTTGACAAGAGCCACAGAAATGGATGGAGGCAAGGAAGACAAACAGTGGCTCACTTCTGCTTTACCTGAGAAGTTGTCATCCTTTGTAGATATAATAACTTGGTTGTTTTCCTTAGGTTTCTGATTCTGTGTGGACAAGAATTAGACACACAAATCAATGCCTGGATTAAACCATATGCTAATGCCAACAGTCAGCAGGAAGAGGCATCAATAAAAGCGACTCCGTGGAGCCTCAGGAGACATAATTTTTTTTGATGATCATCTTCTCTAAATAGCTTTTATTCTTAAATCCACGCATGTGCCTACATATACATCCACTATGCTTAAGAAGTAACAGAGATTAATTAGATATATGCTAGGTTAGCCCCTGTAAATAAACACATCATGCTATTTGTCAAGTCTACGCTATATCAGAACAGATTCACCTCTGTCTGAGGCCTTGGCAAATGTTTCCTTTTCAAGCTTGAGTGAACACAGCATGCAGAGCCATTTAAAGGTAACTTTGGTTTCTGAGGGGTCCTGGGTAGCACTTTTCAGTTAGTGGAAATGGGGCTTAGGAAAGTCTTGCTAAAGACTCTCTTGATTTTCAAGACACATGACTTTATAGGTGCACCCATTCTGGCTTGAGTCAAACAGTAAAAATAAAAGGGAATTTAGTGCTCAAAATCAACACATTTTCAATCTTTTGAAAAGAAACTAGGCCATTGTAGAGGAGACACTGAACTCACTGGAAGAACAGAGAGAAGGATTTTGTCACACCGGTCTCAGTGTCTCTCTGGTGAACTGGGGGCCAACCGGACTTGGGTTATGGTGTCTGGTCCAACCTAAACTTCTAAAAGCAGTCAGTCAGCTTAAAGCTAGGAGGTGAAGGGAGGTCCTAAGCCTCAAAAGGCTTTATCAGGAAAAGGCCAGGAACCATATTTTTGTGGAGGAACCTGGCAAGAAGTGCGTGCTCCCAAACACACAGAATATTTCATTTCTGTGGGGAGGTGTAGCAGTTCATCTTTGCTGCGCCTATGTAACTGATTCAGCCTAAAGGAGCATTTAAATAATAATAATTATCTTGAAGCCGCCTAAAGGGATATTTACATCTTTGTATGAGGCCTCCTCCTCCATTGATGGATGGTGGACAGGGCTGCCCGGCCTGCTGCCTCCACCGCCGCTCGCTTTCTGGGGGGCCAAGGGTGGGGGCGGGGGCGCCGGCAAGTCCGAGCCCCCGGGGTCCCCCAGCTTCCCATCCTCCTGTAGCAGCCTGGAGGAGTTCAGCGCTAGAGGGAAAGCACCCACAGCTGGCGTCGTGCGGTCCCGGCCGCTCGCCTTCTCCGACAGCCCTCGGGCCTGGAGGAACCGACCAGCGCCGACCAGGGAGTCTCCGAGGAGGACCCGGGCCTCCTCGTCCTCCTCCTCCTCGTCTTCGGGATCCCGACCGTCCTCTTCTTCCTCGCCCTCGAGCGGCTTGTGGCCCTCCACATCCACCTCCTGCTCTTCCTCCTCGTCCTCCTCGTCCTCTGAGCTGTCCTCGCTGGGGTAGCTGCAGCTGGTGCCCTCCGGGGACAGAAGGCCTCGGTGGGGCGGCTGCGGGGCCAGAGGGGGCGGCGGCGGCGGCGGGGGCGGCGGGGCTGCGTGGTGGCGCTCCGCCCCGGGCTCCTCGGGCTGCGGCTGCAGCAGCAGCAGCGGCGACGGCGGCTGCGGAGGGTGGTGGTGGTGGTGCGGGTGGTGATGGTGGTGGTGGTGGTGGTGGTGAGCCGGGGCCGGGTGGGGCGCGCCGGCCGACGCCCCGTGCAGCTTGGCCAGGCTCTCCGCGTCGTCCTTGCCGCCCACCGGCCGGAAGGCGCTAGAATGGTGGTAGGCGGCGCCGCCCGCCTTGCGCCCCTCCAGGAGGTGCGGGTGATGGGGCGCCGGCACCCGGGTGCCCGCGGGGCCGGCTCCGGACGCCCCGGCCGCGGCTCCGGCCGTCACGCCCGCCTCGGCCGGGGGCGTGGAGCCGGCGCTGCAGTCCCCGCCGCTGCCGCCCGGGGGCGACTCGAAGAGCGCGTCGCGTGCCCCCGCGCCCCCGGCCGCCGGGGGAGCCGAGCCGGGGCCGTTAGCCACGACGGGCGGAGGCTGGCCCGGCGGGGGCGCGGCCTCGGCGCTGCCCCCCGCGCCGCCCGGCTCGGCCAGGTCCAGGAAGGCCTGGCGCAGCAGGGCCGGGCTGTCGCCCAGCGCGCAGCCGAGCGCCGACGGCGGCTGCGGCGGGGGCTGGAGGTAGGTGGGCACGGGCAGCCCGCCGGGGGTCCGCGGCGGCCAGAACATGCAGAAGGGCGGGTAGAAGGCGTCCTTGCGGCCCGCGGGCCAGAAGAGGCCCGACAGGCCGGCCTTGGGCGGCGCCCCCGCGCTCCCCGCGCCCGCTCCGCCCAGGGCCTCCGCCGCGGCGCCCGCGTCCTCCTTCTTGTGGCACAGGCCGAAGGCGGCGGCGGCGGCCGGGAAGGTGTAGGGGTGCGGGAAGAGGCCTCCGCAGCCCGGGAACTTCTGCAGCACGCCCCCGAACGAACCCTTGCTGGGCACCGGGATGACCGGGTAGCTGCGCGCGCCTTTGGCGCCTGCGGCCGAGCCGGCCCCCGCGCCGGCGCCCACGGCCGTCACGCAGCCGCCCCCGGCGCCCCCGGCTCCCGGCCCGGCGCTGCCCGTGGCCGCGGCCACCGAGAGGCTGGCGGCGGCGGCCGCGGAGAGGCTGGCCGCGGCCACCACGGCTGCCTCCTGGAGGGAGTCCTCGTCGTCGTCGAAGCGGGGCCGCTTGTGATGGGCGTGCGGCGCCCCCGCCAGCTCGGCCAAGGGCGGCGGCGGCGGGGGCGGGGGCGGCGCCCCCAGCAGGTGTGGGCCCAGCAGGCCCCCGCCGCCGGCCACCGCGGCCGCCGCCGCCACCGCGGCCGCCTTGACGGAGCTCAGGGGGTGGCAGGCCGGGTGCGCGCTGGGCTGGGGCAGCGCGCGCTTGCGGCTGCCGCCGTTGAACATAGCCTTGACGTCCTCCCAGGCGAAGACCAGCTCGTCCTGGGGGCTCTTGTCCGTGAGCTTGAGGTGGCGGCGCCAGGAGTTGAAGTTGGCGGCGTCGGGCTGCGTGTACTTGGCGTCGGGGGTGCGGTGCGAGTGGAAGATGAACTTGTTGGGCGAGAAGTACATGTTGCAGTAGCTGCACTTGATGCACTTGGCGCGCGAGCTGTTGTAGCGCGCGGGGATGAAGCTGCCGCGGCAGCCCCAGGCGCACTCGTGCGACACGTCGAACGCGAAGTTGTCCGGCAGCTTGGGCGGCCGGTTTTCGCCCAGGAACGACTTGCACAGGCGCTCGGCCTCGCGCTTGGTGATCATGCCGCAGCGCCGCGACGAGATGGGCATGGCCCCGGCGCGCCGCAGGATCTCCAGCTGCACCGGCGTGCACTGCACGCACGTGATGCCCAGCGCCACGCGGCGGTTGTGGATCTCGTTGTAGCTGAAGTTCTTGAGAAGGGTGTTGGAGATCTGCGCCAGGCACAGGCGCTCCTGCCCGTCGATCACCAGGGATACGATGGGGATGCCATAGAGGATCACCTGGCCCACCTGGTTGGGCTTGAGGTTGGCGTGGCCCGGCCGCGGCTGGCTCAGGGCGTCGGGCTGGAAGGCGCTCGAAGGCGATGCGAGTAGGATGTCGTTGGGCCCTGGCAGTGGGCTGGAAGCCATCTCCACCACTGAAGAACGGCCTTAGCGATCCGGGTTGGCCTTGGAGACTGGAAAGGAAAGGAGAAAGTTGATTTGAACCTTCTCGGTCTTAAGAAGTGGGATGGGAGCTAACTGCAAATTACACTAGCTTCTTGCCTTGGTTAAGACATGGTCATTACCAGCAGAGTGAGCAAGTTTCAGGCGCGCAAAGGTCATCTTTTAGAATTCCCCTCAAGGTTGCCATTGAGAAAGTTTAGCGACGCGGAACTGGCAGTTTGTCTTGTGCCCTACTCTTCTCAAGTAAATGCTATCTTTCAGCCGTTTGTCTATTTGTCTTTTTATCCATTTCAGCAAAATCCCAAGAAACTTAAGACACCCCGGATTTATGAAATGGAATGATCGTTGGGACAAGATTTGTCTCCTATAGGAATGGGAAGGTGATGACTGTTGTTGTCGTTAATGATTATACAAATCATGAAGAACTTGGGCTTGGCCATTGAAACCCAAATTTTGAGAGAGAAAGAGAGAGAGAGAGAGAAAAAACATTCCGATGTGCATGGAAAAAATAATTTTGCTTAAAAAAATTAACCCAAACATTTTAAAGACTGATTTTTTTTTTGTGGTGTCTGTGGTTTCTTTGCAGGGAGATTCGCTACTGATTGAACCATTGCTCATTAAAGCAAAACGAAATTTCTTCTTCCCCTCTCTTGCTTTTAGGTGTTATTTTGCTTACTCTAATTAGAAAATTGAGGGATGGGGATGAGGAAAAGCTATGCGCATGATTGCGCCAAAACAAAGTACGTTGTTTTCAAAAATTCAAAGACCCGTTTCATGAGCTCAGGGTTTCCAGTTCTAGTGAGATGGACCAGGAAGTTGGAGACACAAACTTTTTTAAAAGTGCTCTCCTGTCATTTTTATACAAGGTACGAGTCAGTACAGGCAAATATATTGAACCCAGAAGCGCGTAAGGAAACAGCTCTTGGGGACCATGAGCGGCCGAGGTTAAAGAGTGTGCTCAGACTCACACAGCCAACGCTCGTGACGTTTACACCCTTAGCTTTGTCCGTATCCTTGTATGTGGGGAGTGCTCAGCCGGAACCATAGTTTCTAGATCAGCCATGGGCGCACTGAAAGGGGATGTAAGGGTTCCGTCAGAAATCAAACTCCTGTTTTCCCGTGGTGCCAGCTGGGTGCCCCCAACGGGGAAAAATAAAAATCCATTCAGTTGAAAATACAGAACAACAGGCAGAGGAGAGAAACCCTCTCCTCAAGCAGGTTAAACGGTGCACTCCCCAGGAAGCCCAGCAATGGTCTTCTGCTAGTCACTTGCTCCGTGTGTAGGCCAAAGCTGTCCTTTGCCCTGGAAAGTCACCAGTGGCCACTGCCTGGCCGCAAGCTGGATTTTATTACACCGATCACAGAGAGTACACTAACCGATCCCCTCAACCAAATGATTGCAGGCGTGTTCCTTCTTTGGGTCTCCATGACATCTGGATGACCTCCTCTGACCTGCTGCCCGGGGAACCTCAGCAGGCTTTACCGTACGCAATCTCCGAGAAGGCCAAACAAACCCGGACTCCATCGAAGGAGACAGGAGCTAGGTGTGTCCTGCCCGCCGCTTCAGAGAGGAAAGGCCACATTCTCGGGGTCAGGGCATTAAATGGCGCTAGAGGCATGCTGGCCCCCGAGCATCACACACCCAGCTCTAGGTTGGGCTGAGGGCCCTTCCAGGCTCATTTTTCCAGGCTCGTATTATCTCCATATGGCCCTGGGAGAACTCGAACTCTCGCTCTTAAACCATGCGCTAAGGTGCTGAGTTGGTTCCGAGTTAGGAACCGCAGCCTTCCCAGCGGAAGACCCCGCAGAAATACCTGCCCTGAGCGCCTCTCACTTTTACCCCAAACCCTTCCGGACACTCCGTCAGCAGAGACAGAAAGATGATTTGGTTTGGGATATATTTTGAGGGGTGAAAGAGGAGACAATTAAAAGTTAGTTGAACCGAAAAACGAACCCGACAAACTTCTCCACCTCCCTCAGAGGCAACGAACCCCAAACTCATTCTCCCGGCTCCGACACCCATCCTTCCCGAAGTCCGCCGCCCTCCACCGAGCGCGGAAACTCCTCGGCTGGGTTTTCCCAGCCCTCGGCTGGATGCCGACCCAGGGCGGGCGGCTTCGGGCAGTACCTGGTAACCCCTCGGTGTCTCTAGGCGCGAGGCTGCCGGCCCATCTTCCGAGGGCGCTCGGAGGCGAAGCATCCAAGCGGGTCCTCGAATCCAGCGGGCGGGCGGGACTCAGGCGAGCTGAGCGAAGCTCCCGGCGCCCGCCGGCGCGAGCTAACGCCACTCGAACCCCGGCGGGGGCGGGGGTGGGGGCAGAGTGAGGGCCTGGGTTGCGGCGGGGTGTCCCCTCCACCGCAGAAAGTGTGGGCGCGTGGAAACCCGCGACAAGCGAGCCCCAAGTGGAGCGCAGCCTGACAGCGCCTTTCTGTCTCTGAACTCGTGTCCGATGGAGGGGACGCCACCCAGCGGGCAGGGTGACGTCACCGTCTCCCTGACACTCCACATTAAAGGGCTGGCATGTTACAGGCAGGGAGGGGGAGAGCGAAAGCGAGAAGAAGCTGTATAGAGATCCTTTTCCAGCAGGCACGAAAGCCGCCACCTAGCCAACCGCAACTGGCAGCTCCTCAGCCTGGGAACAAAACGCGACGGTGAGGCTGCATCCCCCTGATCCGGTTTAGGAGCCCAAAGCTGAACGGCAAACTAATGTCTGCCTGCCTGTAGCAGCTCCATCTCATTTCTGGAAGTCACCCTCCTTCCTGAAGGGTTCCTCCGCGGCGGGGAGCACGGTAGCAGCCTCGAAGATAGAAAACGCAGTCAGCTGGAGAGCAGATTACTTTCAGCACCTCCTCTGAAACACCGCAGAGTGAGAGGGAGAGGGGAGAAGTTTCTCCATTGGTGCCCAATGCGGAAACTGGGAAAGAAGCAGGAAGAAGTCAGTAAGCCCCGGTTTGCACTAACTTTTCAGGGCAAAATAGCCACTGGGCCTTTTCTGGTGCACAGAGAGTACAACAGGGTGAAGACAGCAGTGGGTGACAACGTGCATTCACCCACCAGGACAGTTAGAACACCCCGCTAACTTATCTTATAAGATCTATGCAGGCAGGCCATGTCCTCACAAGGAAAAAGCAGAATGGCCTATTACAGAGGCCCTTGGACAAATTGCCAATTCCCCTGGAGAAATAAATTTCTACAGACTCCTGTAAAAGGAGCCTACTAGGATGAGAATCTTCCCCCATAGTCTCCCCAAAGTGAGGCGCACCTGGGGATATTAATGAAACGTGCAATGTAATTGGCTCTTAAGAGCCAATGCAGCCACTGGCCAGAAAGTAAAGAAGCCATTTGTTGGGAGGACATTCTAAGGAGCATTCTAACTTGCAACAAGAGCAGCAAGTTATGTTCTTCCAGTACTATGCTAGATGAAGTTCAGTTGCTGCCGGTGAGATAGGCTTAGGGGTGGGCAGTTATGCCCCAGAAATGATGTAACTACCTCCACTAAGCTCAAAGCCTGACCAGATCTCATTAGAGCACAGACACTTGCTAAATACAAGAACAGAAATCTTAACAGTTTTCCATAGCTTAACAAAGCTGAGGAGAGCCAAGAAACTTGGGGCCTTTGCTCAGGAGTTGGGGCTTTTAGAAAGCATGAAAATGGTACTGAGCAAAAAAGGAAGGAAAGACAGGAAGGAAGGAAGGAAGGAAGGAAGGAAGGAAGGAAAGAAGGAAAGACAATGCTAAGGTGTGTCAGAGGCAGAAGTTTCAAGTGGCAGTGGAATGATTTTTCAGTGATCTCCTTATTTCTAAGTGCACCAAAAGCAAAAGTTAGATCCCATCTTAAAGGGCTGAAATCAGCTCAGTGCTTCCTGTCTAATGCTTCCAGATACCCTTTACAAGAAGGAAAACTTGGATTTGGGGCCTGACTCATTCATTTGTCTAAACAGCATGGTTGTCATTAAAGGGAAGACAGGCATGGGTAGTCTTCTTGCCTAACTGTCCATCCCTAAGCCTGTTTCCTAAGGTTCCAGGGCCAAGCCCACATCTTCCTTCCTGCCTGCCTCCTTTTTGGAGTTGAGGGCTCCCACAAGTCAGACAGGCTTGCTCTGTCTGACCCCGAAGCCCAGGGCGCCGGGAGGGCTGGGAGGAAAGCTCCAGCCGCACATGGGTGGGCTTTGAGGCTGGAATTGGGATGACAGGAGTTGATCATTTCTCACCGAGGTGCCGCTGGGAAATGCCTGGGCTGCACGATCTGGAGGAAGTGCCTTGGGGTTTGTGCTTTTACTGCAAGGCTCCTTTATTTACTAAAAAGGCAGATTCCTACGCCTAAGAATTTGTCTTCAGAAACATCTTTCTTTGAAAAGAAATTCATCTAACTGGGTTTTTTGCCTTCCATCCGTCTGTCCCCACAGTGAATCGGGGACAGTCACCGCTTCCTCGCCTATCACACAGTACTTTGGAGATTTACTGACAATGCTTAGGAGGTTGCCTGACACCGTGATTTTTGAAACTTTCGATAGATAGAGAAGTGTGTAGTATAAGGCTAAATATTTTTACTCAAATGATTTTAAGAAGCGCCAGTATTTTATTTCCCTAGAGAGTCTGGATGTCCTGCTCAGAAAAAATCAGGCCATTTGCATGCTTAGAATTTGTAGTCACGAAATAGCCCCTCCCCGCCCCCCAGTGGATTCTGCTCTCAGAGAGTCTTGTCTGGATGTTCGAGTTCAGGACATGGCAGCCCATTTGTGTTCTGTGAGCAACTGTATTGCCCACTGCCTTAGACCCTTTGTTTGCCTTGAACAAGTCCCCTGCTGCTGCTCCTCCTATGCCAGCCCTTGCCATGGCATCTGGGACCCTGAAAGGCGCAGGCAGGAGAAGGCTGTTTGGGAGGAAGTTAATCAATGCTTTCCTATTCCAGCGGTCGTGCATTTTACACGTTGGGACTCTCCTCAGACTGCTAATTGATTCA